CACAAAACCATTCTCACCCTATTTTTAGTTTCTATAATTAATTTTACTATTACCACCTATGTAACAATAAAAGGTAATTATCAAAATAAAAATAGAAACCTTTGAAAAAAATTAATTCCCGTATATTTTACTAATAAATTTGTTTTTATTTAAATATTTCTTTGAAAGAAAAACAATACCCGCATCTTGCTAAGAGGCTTGATAGTGTCTGGGGTGCCTAGTTTTTCTTCAGGGTTTTTTTTTAAACCAACTTTGAATGAGAAATCAAAGAGTAAGATCACTTAATTGGGAGAGTAATGAGGTTGGTGGGTATGATAAATTAGACTTGAAGCTTGATGTTTTCATGGTTCAGCATGATATGGAGAATATGTATATGTGAGTTTTCAAGGAGAGGACTGAAAATACATTGGGAAAGATGCAGCTGTACCAAAGCTCTAATGGAAAACAATATTATTGTTATAGTTATTTGTGCGTGTACGTGTGGATAATAATATTATACAACTGAATAATGGAATCATATGACATTGACTTTATTCAAAATTGTTAAAGCTTAAACTAAATAAAACGAAAACAAAAATTTTAATCTCTTCATAAAGGGATGAAACTTAACAAAATTTAAAAACATTTAATCCTCAAAGCCTTAAAGTAAACTCTTCCACGACAAATAAAAGTAAAGCTACGGGAATTAATCTTTTTTCAAATGTTTCTATTTTTATTTTGATAATTACCTTTTATTGTTATAGTAGGTGGTAATGATAAAATTAATTATAGAAACTAAAAATAGCGTGAAAGTAGTTTTGTGTTAAAAGGAAAGACCATAGGTGGTTTGTAAAATGACCGTTAGATTTAATCTAACGGTCTATATAAAAAGTGTAGATTATTTTTCTTACTCCGTGGGGAGCAAGAAATCAGGACTATATATATATATATATTGGTGAGAAGTGGAGTTAATATCTATGCATTAACTTTATTATTAATATAAAGTTAATGTATAAATAATTTTATATATTAACTTTATATTTCAACTAAAATCCTTATATTAATAATTTTAGATTAAATTAAGCAAAAAAAACATATAGAATTAACAGAGATAGTGAGATATAAAAAAATGTAAAAAATAAAAAGTTTCAAGACTACACGAAGTACATAATAAAAAAACATAAGCAAATAGAAAAAAAAAAAAAAAAAAAATTATCGTAGCACTATGAGAAATGAATAATGTTCAACAAAGCAATTGAATAAATTACTCGTATCCTCCAATAATAATAATTTTTTTAAAAGGCAAAAATTATAGATATTTTACTTTTTTTCTTTTACTTTTGGGTCTTTCTATGAAAGTTAATATGAATTAAAAAGCTGACGTTTATGTATATTGTATCCTCAAATTGTAATTCAAATTTATTTCTTTAAAATGCAGGAATTGTAAATATTATTTATCCTTCACTTTTCCATCTTTCCACCTACGTTAATATAATATTAAAAAGTTAAGATTTATATATATGGTTATATTTATATACTAATTTTCATAGACTGATTACAATATTAAATAATGATAATAATTTATAAAATCTTTATAATAATAAATCAAAAAATTGAGGATTTTTTTTTTATTTTATCTTGAGAGATGGTTTTGTTTTTGTTTTATATATATATATATACACACACACACACACTAGAATTAACGTGCGTTGCACATGATGAAAAATGTTTGTAAATTTATTTTTTTATTTTTTGAATTATTCTTTTTTGTTTCAATGATCTTTATGATTTAAAAATTTCATCTATAATATATAATTTAATTAAAAAAAAATCTATTTCTAAAGGGTTATCTTCAAATTAAAACATTTATTGTGTTGAATTCTTTTTCTTTTTCTTTTTTCCCTATATATATAAAGAGAGATGATGTGAAAATTGGGTGAGCTGAGTCTTTTGGAATTAATCAATAAAAAAATAAAATATAAAAATTCAATATAAAAAGATGTGACTATAAAAGAATATAAAATTAAAGATATATATATATATATATATATATATATATATATATATATATATATATTGAGAAAACATATCACTTCCGCAAACACAATGATGCAAGGTTTCTGGAATAAATCAATAATAAAAATCCAAAAATCTAAAATACGGGAGTATAAAAATAAAAATGCTATTTATTTTCAAAATAAATAAAAACACTATTTGACATTTTGATACATTATTAGTATCTACAAAATTCAATATAACTTAAAAAAAAAAAGAAAAAAGTATGAGTTTAGGTCTCCTGAAATCACTTAGTAATAAAAATATAAAAATAAAAACACTATTTAACATTTTGGTACATAATTAATTAATACTTACAGAACTCAACATAACAAAATTTTATTTTAAAAATGAATAGTATGAGTATAGGAGACAATGTATAATTATTGGTGTACCTCACCATGAAGTTGAGAACCAATTTACCAGTGTAGTGTCCTTAATCCATGACATAACATAATATGTCTATGACTCGATAGAATTGAACAAACTTGAAAATAGAATAAAAGAACATTTTAAATTTAGTAAAATAAGGCAATAAAGTAATAAGATATTATATTAAGATTAACATCACAGAAATTCAAGAACTGTGACGTAGAAGAGAGTACAGATTCGGGGTCAGCATGAAATAATTGGATGGATTTTCTTTATTTTAATTTAACCAACACATGTGCTTTCAAGAAAAACCATTATTTTATTTTATTTTATTTTATTTTTAATGCATATGTACTCTCCAATTCAAGCCAACTTTGGGCAAGTGAATTGAATTAAAAAATAAAAAAATAAAAAATAATAATGTTGGATTTCATACCTTTGAAAAAATTGGGTTTTGATTTGTAATTTGTTGCACACTAATAAAAGATTTGTCTCCGACGAAAAGGGTTTGAAGGTAATTTAGGCTGTTGGAATGTCCATTTACCTTTTTATAGGATCGAATCGACATATACTTTATTGATATATACTTTCAAGAGTCATGCGGTTTGAAGAAGGAAAGAACATTAAAAAAAATTATTAAAAAATATAATATATACAAAATAATTTAAATATAGAACCGATGCATTTTAATCCGATATTATATAGAGAAAAAGGTGTTTAATATGAAAAAGAAGAGGTGTTCTTTGTAGGTACTTGAATTAAAATCTTCATAAAAGTAGGCTACTTGGTGAGCAAAATATATAAATTATTTATTTTATAATAGGATAGGTGTTGGATTTTTTTTCACTCCGAAGTGTTAGTAGTTAAGAAGATAACTTTTGAAGTGTTTTATTTTTATATTTGAAATTGTATTGGCAAGGAATATTAAAAATATTGAAATGCTAAAAGGTGTAACGTTTAGGAATTCAAAAGGTGTATAATGTAAAATGGAAAATATGTGTGTGTGTGTATATATATATATATATATTTATAATACAAAAATATATATTATTTTAGAATAGAGGAGGTGTTTGCGGTTAAAAGGTGTTTGTTACAAGAGTTTAATTATTTTATTATTATTATTTGAGAAGTCATGTTTCTTGAGAAAACAAAAATTTAAAGTCATGTTTTCTTTATAAATTAAAAAAAAAAAAAATCTAATTTTGGTGTATATAAATAATACGAAATAAATCCCCTTTTATACGGGATATAAATATAGATATAGATATATTTGATACACATATTACGGATAATATATAGTAAAGTGATTGAATTAAATACCATTTTTATTCTAAATGCAAGTCTAAAGAGTTTCTTAATTTCTCACTATTCTTATCTTAAATCTTCATGGGACATACTTCCAAAAATCTATTCCAAATATAAAGATATTGCATATGGGAATCATAAATACTTTGAAGAGAATTAGGCAATGTAGAGAACCTACAAAAGAACAATATTTCCTAGAGAATTAAACGGAAAAAATATAGAATTAGACAAAATCAACACGGAACAATAAACACATTATACACGAAAAGAAGATATATAGATGCTTTAGATTGTTGGGATCACAATGTAGTTAGACAAAAATAATTTGTTATAACATAATATAAATAGCACAAAATAATAATAGTTCAGTAAAATATCAATAAAAGTATATTAAAATAAGAGAGAGTAAGAAACTTACTTCTAACCTTTTGGAGAGTCAGGACTATGAAAGGCTCCAAAATTGTCAAGAAAAACATTAATCAAGTCCTACATTGCCATGTGGTTCAAAAAAGAAACATTGATCAGTCTTACATTGGATGAACGAAGGAAGAAAGTTTAGAAAAGAAACAAAGTGGAAGATGTAAAACATATATTGTTTTTATTGGACTATTATTCTATTTATAGGCTACTACACACCTATTCAAGAAAGGAAATGCCTGTTCAACTATAAGAAATTTTTACCGTTAACTTTTTTCATAACCGTTCATATTTCTTTCACACCATTCATCAATAGATTTTTAAAAACTTTATTTTGTTAAAAACTAATTTGATGCATGCTAATCAAAAATGTGTAGGGGTTCAAGATGACTGTAAATAAAACCTCTACTAAATTTTTGCATAGAAAGATAGAGAGAGAGAGAGAGAGTGTAAATATCCCACATACTTTTTTTTTTAATTTTAAAAAAATAATAATTAATAGAGGGGTGATATATTTTAACTGACAGAAACTCTCTATTAAAGAAAAGGTGTTTAATATGGAAATGTGTGTGAATTTAAAAGAAATTCTTTTCTAAAAGAAGACAACTTGATAAGAAAAAAATAAAAAATAAAATAAAGAAAATTATTTTTCATATTAAAAATCTATCTAAAGTGTAAAAGTGTAAAAGTGTGGCATGAAAATATTAAAAAATGTTTGAAATCCTAAAAGGTGCAATGTTTAAGAATAAAAGGTGTCAAGTAATGAATTTTTAAAATAAATTAAGTGTTTTAAAATGGATATAAATATTAGAAAATGAATCCATAGTAAAGATAATTATCGGAAGGTTATTGTTTTTAATATTTATTCATTTCTAACACACAATTCAAATTTGCGCCACCATTTGTTGCAATTTTTGTGAAAGAAGCGCTAAAGCTCTCAGCTTTTAACAGCAATCCTGTCGTCGGTGGTCAGTTCACAGGTGAGATGATGGTCACAGCCCGCCAAAGCAAAAGCCTACTTCTTGAAACAGCCACTTCACCCTCTCTTCCAAATCCTAACCCTAAGCTTCTCATTAGAACCCTTCAAACTCCCTCTAAACTAAATCTTTCATCAAATGAATCACCAAATCCTTCCACAGTTGTACAAGATACATTCTTGGTTGAAAAGTTCTTGTTGAGGCTGAAACAAGGTGAGTCCAGATCTCTTTGTAATTATCTATTTCAGTTAAACCCATCAATCTTTGTTGATGTTCTTTGTCGATGTCGTGAAAATCTGCAACTGGGTCAAAAATTTATCGACTTAATTGCCAGAGATCATCCGAATTTTAAGCATTCGTCGCATTCGCTTAGTGCGGCGATTCATATGCTCGTTAGGAGTCGGAGGCTGTCGGATGCCCAGGCTTTGATTCTTAGGATGGTGAGGAAGAGTGGGGTTTCGCGGGTTGAGATTGTCGATTCTTTGATTTCGACTTATAGGGGTTGTGGATCGAATCCACTTGTTTTTGATTTACTGGTTAGAACCTATGTACAAGCTAGGAAGTTGAGGGAAGCGGCCGAGGCATTTCGGGTACTGAAAACTAGGGGTTTTTGTGTTTCCATAAATGCTTGTAATGGTCTACTTGGAGGACTTGTGAAGGTTGAGTGGGTGGATTTGGCATGGGAAATATATGGGGAAATTGTTAGGAGTCAGATTCAAGTGAATGTTTATACGCTAAACATCATGGTTAATGCGTTGTGTAAAGATCGAAAAATCAACCAAGCAAAATTGTTTTTATCTGAATTGGAATGGAAGGGGATTATTCCGGATGTCGTGACGTATAATACTCTAATTAATGGGTATTGTCGCGGAGGGCTTCTAGAAGAAGCTTTTGAGTTGATGAACTCAATGTCAGGCAAGGGGCTGAAGCCGTGTCGTTTCACATACAATGCAATCATGAATGGATTATGTAAGAATGGGAGATATGTGAGAGCAAAACAAGTATTGAATGAAATGTTGCAGAGTGGGCTGAGCCCTGATGTGACCACTTATAATGCTCTGCTTGTTGAGCGTTGTAGAAAAGATAATATGTCAGATGCTGAAGAAATTTTTGATGAAATGTTGCGTCAAGGTGTTGTTCCTGATTTTGTTAGTTATAGTTCACTTATCGGGTTGTTTTCAAGGAACGGATATCTTGATCGGGCATTAAAGTATTTTGAAGTTATGAAGGGTGTTGGCTTGGTACCAGACACTGTTATTTATACGATTCTTATCGATGGGTTTTGCAGAAATGGCATTATGTCGGATGCTTTAAAGATGAGAGATGAAATGCTGGAGCAGGGTTGCCTTATGGATGTGGTTACTTACAATACTATTTTAAATGGCTTGTGCAAAGGAAAGATGCTCCCTGAAGCAGATGCGATTTTCAACGAGATGATGGAGAGGGGTGTATATCCTGATTTTTACACTTACACTACCCTTATACATGGATATTGTAAGAATGGGAATATGAACAAAGCCCTAACTCTTTTTGGGTCAATGATTCAGGGAAGTCTGAAACCAGACATTGTAACTTATAATACTTTGATTGACGGGTTCTGCAAAGAAGGTGAAATGGAAAAAGCTAATGAGTTATGGGGTGATATGATTTCTAGAAATATATTTCCTAATCACATTACATACAGCATTTTGATAAATGGATTTTGTAGTCAGGGTTGTGTATCTCAGGCATTGAGATTGTGGGATGAAATGGTCGGTAAAGGTATTGAGCCTACTGTTATAACATGTAACACTGTTATAAAAGGCTTTTGCCGGTCTGGGAATGCAACAAAGGCAGACGAGTTCCTGAACATGATGAGTTCCAGAGGAGTTGTTTCGGATAGCATCAGTTATAACACTCTTATACATGGATTTGTGAAAGAAGAGAACATGGACAAAGCATTTGACATAGTTATTAAAATGGAAAATCAAGGGCTATTACCAGATGTCATTACATACAATGTTATTTTGGATGGGTTTTGTAGAAAAGGTAGAATGCAAGAAGGCAATCTAATACATCGGAAGATGGTTGAGAGGGGAGTAAATCCTGACAGATCAACTTATATATCATTGATAAATGGACATGTCACACAGAACAACTTGAAGGAGGCGTTTCGGTTCCACGATGAAATGCTGCAAAGGGGTTTTGTGCCGGATGATAAATTTTGATTGCTTTGCTGTTGTAGCCACTAGGCATTACAAGCCACGACATACCAAGTTGTTACAGCTGATAAATTTTAATTTTTCCATTATTGAGGCCATTATGTTCATGACCTACCTGATCCATCAAGCTGCTTGACACAGACACAGACACTGAATGTGGGACCTGTAATCGTGATGTCCTCTGTTCAAATACCTTGTAGTAAGTAGCTTAGCTTCATATACGGATTTAATTTACACTTTTGTCAATTCTGAGAATATCAGATGCCAAACAAAAGGTTGTTGTTGTTATGTATATGACTTGTTCTTTTTATACATATTATGGTGCAACTTTCATTCTATATTAGCTTTACCTTTTCAGTTTAGACAAGGCTTAGAAATAATGAAGTTTACAGATTTACTTTTGTGCTACAGGGAATTTTGGAGTTGAGTGACATTGGTGAACTTTATATACTACAATTGTGGCAGCCTTGTAGCCATTTTGATCCATGTGCAGTTCAGGATTATATACCAAAAGGCTGCATTTTGTGGTCAACTTGAGGTATTAATTTTTAGTATTATTAACAAATATCTTTGTTACATAATTATGGTACATCTCTTGTTGAATCTTATTTATACTTTTATCTGACAGAACAGTTTTTCCCCCTTCTTTCAGAGATTTTGTTTCGTGTGCACCTGTTTCAGGCTTAAGATAGCGAGGTTGCTGAAGAATGAGTGAGCTTTGAATTTTGAGGATGGAAAGACAGTACATAATGACAAAATCACCTATTAATCAAAAAGGTTTTCTTTTCTTATTTCTTTGTTTAAAAAATTTTCTTATTTTTTAATGTACTATTAGATATCCCATCAAGTCATTTCCTTTATGATGAGATACTGTATCAATACATGTGATGAATATACAATGTTGTTACTTATACAACAAAAAAAAAAAAAAAAATGAATGTACAATGTTGTTACTTATCCAAAAAAAAAAAAGTAATGAATGTACAATGTTTTGTTGTTACACATGTTACAATGTTTTGATAGTAATGGTTCATTTATAGTTGTAAAAAATGGGGCATAACTTATGGACACATGGCGTACACAAAGACTTCATATTAGTTATAAAACACAAAAAAAAAAGATCTATCAAGGGATTCACCCCATTATCAGCCAACTCTGAACTCCAAAACAACTCTTTAAATGATCACTGGCTCTGCTCTTTCCAAAGATGTTAGGTGACACTAAATGGAGCCACATCCTAGGCCTTCTTCCTTTGCAGCTCTGCCTTTGACATAGTGAGGTCCTCTCCAGCTATGAAACAACTTCATGGCGATTGCTGATTTACCCAAGGGACCCCAAACAGAACCAAAACTAAAGACCACAATTTTGCAAGCCCTTCGTAGTGGATAAGGAGGTGGTCAACCAACCTTTTATCTTTCTTACACATGCAGCACCATTTTGGAATAAGATTACACCTAGCAATTAAAATATAAACTGTTGGAAAGGAAAGGAACACCTTACGGGTCTCAGCAAAGTGCCACAATACGACTTCACCTTGGACATGCAAAACTTCAAGGCCTTCCAATGCATCTCATCCTTTCGATCCCCCTCCCTTCGTACTACTGATGCTAGGAAGCTGCACCACCTCGTCCACTACCCAATTATTTTTAGTTTCATAAAAAGCAAACATTTAAATTTCCATACTGCCACTGAACATGATTGGGGTTCAGTGGCAAAGGCAGCTGTATATGGTGGTGTGCGGTAGATAAGGGTTGGGGCATGACCGAAAGGCCAAATGTCCATGAGTTTTTCTTTTTTTTGATAATTAATAATTCATTAAAGGCGCTCAAGAGGGAAGCGCTCCCAAGGGAACAAAGGTCGCCTACAGTGACCCTACATCTTTAAGCTATCCACAAAATCCCAAAGAATGTCCAAAGATATACAACTTTGCCCATTAACCCAAAAGAATAAAGAAAACAGTATATTGTATTTGAGAAGCCAAATAGGAGACTCCTCCCCATCAAAGGATCTTTTATTTCTCTCGCGCAACAAACCCCACCGTAAACAAAGGGGAGTGGCCCTCCAAGCATCTCTAACTCGGCTCTCCACTATGCACCCTTTCCCAGCCTCTAACAAATCAACCGTGGACTCAGGAAACACCTAAGTCAGACCAAAAACAACCAAGAACATAGCCCAAACATCCCTTGCCACTTGGCAGTGAATCAAAAGGTGGTTCACAGACTCCCCCAACTCCTCACACACACAACACCAGTTCACCACGACCTGACGTCTCCTTCTGAGGTTGTCGAGAGTTAGGATACTTCCAAGGCAGCAAACCAAGCAAAGAAAGCCAGCTTCAAAGGGACTTTCGTCTTCCAAACAACTCTCTAGGGGAAAGAGGATTGAGGGATCTCCATAAGAATTTTGTAAAATGATCTAACCTCGAACACCCCTCTCAAGGAACCCTCCCACACCATCTCATCCATACCCGCACCCTCCACCACCTGGTTGTAAATCAAAGCAAGGAAATCTGTAACTTCCATAAGCTCCCAATCATGGAACTCTCTACGAAACTGCACATCCCAAGTCACCCTTCGATTATCAAGCTGATAACAGTCAGTAAACTATAGCACGTTTGTTCACAGAAATCATGAAAAGGCTAGGAAATCTACGAGCCAAAATAAGGTCCCCACACCATCGGTCCTCCCAAAATCTGACGTGCCTTCCGCTCCGAACTCTGAACCGGATGCGTTTGGAGAACTCATCCCACCCTTTCCGAATGAGTTTCCAAGAAACTATACTCTCTGGAGCTCTCCTATCCCTAGAAAGCACCCCTCTATCTCCCTCCCCAAAGGAGATGACTCGCATCCATAACTTTGTCCTCTCGCCGCCAAATCTCCAAAGCCTTGTTAAACAAATCCAGCCTTCGGATTCCCAAACATCCCTTTTTGATTTTGAGTTGATTGATGTTTTGTGGAGTTCTGGCCTATATGGTTTGGTTTGTGACAATTCAAACAATGTTAGGCTAGAATGCATGAAGTTGTTTGTTAGATAAAAGGATTATGTTATCATGAGTAGAGGTTAGTTGGCATGATTTGACGTTGACTTGAAAGTATTAGAGTCGATATATTTCGTCAAAGGCAGTTTCATTCGCATTGACCATCGTTTGATGAACTTATGAAATGATGCGTTTGTGGTTGTTTATGGGTAGTGCATGGGTGTGTTTGAATTTGAAGTGTGAATTTTGAAAGTGAATTATTATATATTGTCTTAAATTCTTGTCTAATTAGGTTTTGATTATAGAGTTGTATTTTATTAGGTAATTTCTTGTTAGACAAGTTTTGGGCTTCAAGGAATCGTAATCCTTACCCAACAAGGAATTGGGTTTGGGACTTTATAAATAGTTATCTAGGTTGGTTGAGGCTTATGAGAATGAAAGACATGTAGCCTTAATTCAATAGTGGAAGGTGGTAGCCCTAATTCTATAGGGGAGGGTGGTAGCCTTGTGAGGGAGTTGATGGGTAGATGTAGTTTATGGGTTGGCGTAGTGGATTTAACACTGGCGGCGAGAGGGAGTCTCGTGGAGTATACAGAGAACCCTGAGGTAAGAGTTTATGTACATGGTCTAGTGTTGGGAATTCTCTATTGTTGTAATACCTTTACATAAATATAGTGGAATTTCTTCTCATTCGTGGATGTAGGCCGGGTGTGGCTGAGCCATGCAAATCTTATACATGATTAATTTATTCATATTCGTTGGATCTCCATGTTTCTAGTGCTACCGTTACCCCAACAAGTGGTATCAAAGCCAAAGGTTCGTGTTGGGAAGTTTGGTTGTTATTTGAAGGAGATCTGAAAAACACAAGGACTCTCAATATGTGTTGCAATGGGTTTCAATTGCAGGTGGAGTCAATCAATCAACTTGTTTGGTCACAATGGTTAAAAAATATGAAGGATTACATGACATGGAGCTGGAGTAGTCAAGGTGGTGCATTGGAGGTTTGACTGATCGAGCAACATACAATAGGCACAATCAGAGTTGTGTAAGATTGAAGCCGCGTGCATTGTCCGATTGAATTGCTATAAGAAGCGATGATTGGCTTAATGGAATTTGAGCCGAGGTAAACATTGTTATGTATTATGTCTCAAATTTTAGTTTAATTAGGTTTCTATTTTAAAGTTGTATTTTATTAGGTAATTTCTTGTTGGACAAGTCTTGGGCTCCAAGGAATTGGGTGTGGGACTCTATGAATTGTTATCTAGGTTGTTGCCTATCATGAGAGACAGAGAGAAGGAGAGAGAGAACTTGTACTATCTCTCACTCATACACACTTATGAACCTAATAAGCCTATATAGGCTTATATAAGGGATACAAGTCACCTTAATAACATAAGGGTCCTACTAACATAATGTAATTACATAATGGCCCAACATATATATATATATATATAACATTCTAACACTCCCCCTCAAGCTGGAGAATATATATCAAATAATCCCAGCTTGGAACAGATAGTTCTTAACCGGTTATAACCCAATGCTTTGGTAAACATATCAGCTAATTAATTTTCAGACTTCACGAATGGAGTAGAGATGCTCCCACGCAATATCTTTTCTCGAATGAAGTGACAATCAACTTCAATGTGTTTGGTCCTCTCATGAAACACAGGATTTGAGGCAATGTGAACTGCTGCTTGATTATCACAGAACAATGGAGTAGGAGCTTCAACTGTCAACCCAAGTTCTTTTAGAAAATGTTGTATCCAGGTCAACTCACTAGTAGTACTATACTCAGCTTCAGCACTAGATCGAGCTACCACCGTTTGTTTTTTACTTCGCCATGTAACAATATTTCCTCCTACAAATGTGCAATAGCCTGTAGTAGATCTCCTATCCGAAGGAGAACCAGCCCAGTCGGCATCTGTAAAACCTTCCACCCTGAGATGACCATGTGATTTATATAGTAACCCAACACCTGGAGCTTGCTTGAGATATCGGATAATCCGAAGAACAATAATCCAATGTGGCATTCCAGGAGCTCCCATGAACTGACTTACAACACTAACTGCATATGAAATATCAGGTCGAGTGATAGTGAGATAAATTAATTTCCCAACAAGACGACGAAATCTGCCCGGATCATTAAATAGATCACCCTCATTAGATACAAGTTTTGTATTCGAATCCATAAGAGCATCAACCGGGCGACCACCCAACATACCTATTTCTTCTAATAAATCCAACACATATTTTCGTTGGGATAAACTTATACCCTTCTTGGATCTAGCAACTTCAATACCCAAGAAATACCTAAGTTTACCAAGTCTTTAGTGTGGAATCAATATTGCAGAAACAACTTTAACTTAGCAATGCCTTTAGAATCATCACCTGTGATCACAATATCATCTACATATACCATAAGAAAGATGAAGCCAGCTTTAGTGCGCTGGTGAAATACAGAATGGTCGGTCTGACATCTGTTAAGACCAAATTTTAATGCCGCCTCAGAGAATTTTCCAAACCAAGCCCGTGGAGATTGTTTCAATCCATATAGGGCCTTTTTAAGGCGACAAACAGTGTGAAGATACTCCCCCTGAGCAACAAACCCAGGTGGTTGCTCCATATAAACCTCTTCTACTAAGTCACCATGCAAAAAAGCATTTTTAACGTCTAACTGAAATAGAGGCCAATGTCTATTAGCAGCAAGAGAAATCAAAACACGAATAGAAGAAATCTTAGCAATAGGGGCAAACGTCTCATCATAGTCAATACCATGAGTCTGGGTGTAACCTTTGGC